CTCCCTTAACTGCTAAAGACACCAAAGCATTTTCTGTGTTACGAGGCTGGAGACGCAGTTGAAGCTCGATTTGTGCAACAGCACAGTTGTGTTTCAATACACAGCACTGGGTTGAATCCAGAAAGATCTGGAGAAGGTGAAGACCAAAGACCCAGTCTGATATTTTAGTCACAATTCAATTTGACAGTTTTTGTCAAGGTATTATCTGTCTTCTGTGAGACATTCGAGCCCCTGTGGAGGCCATGTGCTCCTCTCCCTCCAAGCTGAGGGCAGGTGAATTAGGGCCAGCTGCACCTGACTTCTTACCACCAGCAGAAAAAGCTTCCAGGTCCCCAGGTACAACCAGCTCCATTTATTTTCATCAGCACAAGCCTCCTTTGCTTGGGTTTGCCTGAGGAGAGTGTTCGCCCTTTACCGCTCAGCCTAATTACTGACTCACACGAATGGCTCATTACTGATTCAAATTGCTCAGTCTCTTGGCTCCATAACTGGGCCATTAGCATTTTCTAGAGGTAAGACTCTTGGAAAAAAGCATGAAAAAAGCCACAGAATAGGCCAACTTGCCTACAATTGCAGCCCAGGATTTTCCTGCCAACAAAGCCTGCCTTTAAACTAATTTCTGACAGTTAAACCCACAAAAAGGAACCCAATTCTACATGTTAAATTTGCAGGAATTTCAAGTTGCTCATCTTAGGTTTCTCAGCAGGAACTTCAAGTTGCTCATCTTAAGTTTCTCAAACCATTTCAGTGTTTTCTTGTATGCTGCAAAACTCACTGAGAAAAAGCTTTTTGCAGCTCCATACAAGAGTCATGTCTACACATAAGACAGTAAGTGTACAACAAGCTCAGCCTGGGCTTTGCTTTCTGCAGGTCCATCAGAGCTTACATTTCACCAACAACTGTTCAGGCAACTGCAGATGCTATTGTCAGCTTTTGCAATAGGGAAACAAGACAAGTCAAAACAGGCCTGGAACGTTTTGCACTGCAAAAGACTTTATAAAAGAAAAAGGGAGTTCATACTACTCAAGACTCTTCATGACTGACACTGAAAGGTACTCCTGCCCAAATTTACCCTGCAGTTGAATCACCTTTAAATCCTAGATTACTGGGATCCATCCTTTCCCACTTCCTTCATTCAGTTGGTTTGAAAATGGTATCATACAGTGTCCAGAACTGTAAACTACCATTAATGAACCAGTATCCCCACTTCAATATATTTCCTCTTCACTCACTATCCCCACTTCAATATATTTCCTCTTCACTCACTTTTAATTCACTGTTTCCAGTTTTAAGAAGGAAGACCAGGTGAATTTACAGAGATAAGCAGTTACATGGCTGTTTTTTATATCACTCTGATTCCTAACCAGACTACTTTTAAAACCTTCTTGGTGACTGTAAAGACACTACTCCTGATTGCAAAATGCTAAATCTGAGCTAAAGCCCCAACACTTTCCAGATAAAGAAAAGAAAACTTTATTTTGTTCCATGTTTACTTCTTTTGTCTCAAAGTATGGCACAATGTCCCTGTGGCTGGAAAGGAATGCTCTGCATTCTTTAGGCAGGGAAGAAATCCAGTAAGGTTGGCTCCAAGGATGCCTTTCACTGCTTCTTAAAACATTAACAACGTCCTAGCGGGAGAGACTGGGGAGATCCAGACCTCTAGAGGACAGCATGCATTTTCCTATGTCTCAGGACCATCAAACTAAGCAGCAACTGGAGCAAATTAATGCAAGAAGCTCCTTATGAGAAAGGACTGTACAAAGAGCAAAAGCAGGTTCTGGATATCCTAATCTCACTGAAGAGCAATTACATTTCTTGGGAACTTGTTCTTCGCTTATGGGAAAAATTCAGCACTAAAAGGACATGGGTAAGTGTCTGAGCTGCAAAGTCACAAATCAAGCATGCCCTGGAGGGCCTGGGCTTCCATTCCACCTCATGCAAACACACCTCCATCTCCCCAGGCCCAGGTCTGCTCTGCCTTACAGTAACTGAACACTTCTCAGAAAAAAATCAATATGGCCTATTTTAAACTTTTAGGTTTGGTGCCAATTTAATTTGATTTAAATTACCTTATGGGGCAAATCGTATGACTAACTGGCATTGCATCACACAGCAATAGCAGTAATGTAAATATGGATAACCAGAGCACGGAATTTTGAAAGAAGTATCTCTTGCCAGCATGCTTGCTTGTTCTCTGCAGAAAGCTCCACAGAACCACTTTCTGGAACTACATGCCAAGCCACATGAATGTGAAGCCATTTTGTTTTCTTCTCATCAGTAATGAGAGAGCCTGTGAGTGGAATCATGTGTTACCTCGTATCTTCTGGTACTCCAACATACCTACTGAGCACCAAAAATGGGAGCTTAACAGGAAGGAAAAGAGGGCAAAAGATCTGGAGAAAGAGTTATTACCAATAACCAGCCTTTTTCTCTTTCCAACATTAATTTGCTTCTTCTAAAGGCGAGCTAGTATGCTAGTAAAGTCTTCATTTATTACCCAGTAGCATAAGCCTACCCATCCACACTGTTTCTAAGGCAGAGCAGCCTCCACCCTTTTGCCCTGAAGACTTGAAAGGCACGAAGTTTATTAGCTCATATTTTACATTCCTGTATGAATGAGAAAAAGAAATCACTTTTGAAAGTCTTAGCTATTCTTTGTCTTCCTCACAGTACCTATTCTGTGCCAGATATGTTCTTTCACTATAAGATCCTCACTCAGGGATGGAGAGAGGGAGGAGTCTGCTGTGCAATGGGAAAATTCCAAAAGCCCCCAAATCAGATGGCAGTTGCCCAATGAGGTATCAGAAGTTTCCAGGCTGTGCCTCTACAACAGAAGAGTCATCACTGACCCAGTTCCTGCTGGACCTCTCTTCCTCCTGCCCTTTTTGTCACCTTGCAAAGGGCAATCTTTGTAACAAGTGTCTGAACACTCAGCTAGAACAAATGGTTATGTTCATGCTGGCTTGCCATCAGAGAAGCCAGACCTGCAGAAACCACCTTGCTTCAAGAAAGTCAGGCTGTTCTTGATTCCAGCTTCCTTCCAAAACGACTTGATACTGGAATTTTGAATCAAGGTAACTTAAGGCAAAAAAAAAAAAAAAAAAAAAAAAAAAAAAAAACTGATGAGAAGGACGAATTCATTTTTAGATTAGTCATTTTCACCACAAGATGAAAAAGTAATGCTATGTCCATCAAAGTTTAAACCAAATTATTACAGCTTCTAACAGCCCTCTTGATTTTAAAAGACCCATTAAATAGCTTTTCATAAGTATTTTTCTAACATGATGGAATAGGGTCAGACTTGCTAATGTGTGGGTTTCTAGCAGATATGAACAGATTCAGAACTGCAGAAGACAGAAAGTTTACATGACTGCTTGAAGCACTCTGGCCCAAAGGGAAACGTCTCCCCTTTTGACAGCTACTGCACAGGACGTTTCTGCAGCCACATGACCAAGCATACCGTCCTTGAAACAGGATGCCACAGGCAGCACCAAGGAGAATCAATTTATATTACAAATTTTAAATTAGTCATACCATTTACAGTTTTCTTTTTGCATGTTCCAACCCTTGAGTTAATAAAGGGAGTGTAGAAGAAAAAACAAGTTCAGATGTTTTCCCCTTTTGCTCCTGTTTCTCATGAAAACCAATGTCAGCTGCTTTCAATTCTAGAACGGACCAGGACTACCCAGGTAAAAAGTCTACAAATAACTCCAAAATAATGCAGATTTCAAGAGCTATTTGATTTGCTTGTACTTCAGGCTAGACTGGCAATGATTGCATTAACAGAATTATAACCATGTGTTCAGGTGCCAATTACACATTAATGCATAATTACACGTTTAAAGAGACATATCCTTATGCAAAATAAGAAACAGGCTTCAGTATTCAGTCTCAGCTAAGTAGTTTTCCTTGCATATTTCTTCTCCTTACCTTAAGCTATTATATACAAGCAATAGGCTGCAGAGCAGATATGCTCAAAATACATCTCTACTCTGAACAGAGCAATCGAATCCCCATTAAGTGTTTTCAGGACCTGATTGACATTCCCAGCATGGAAGATGTCCCTCAAAGTATTGGTATCAAAGTCAGTGTTTTCCTTCATTCTGAAGTGTCAGGAATAACTGGTTTAGAGAGTTAGCACTAAAAATCCTGCTTTGCTTGTCAAAACAGGAACTTCTCCCAGGACAGAGCATTCATCCTCAGCAGCAGAAGTGAGGATGCATTCAGCACAGTTTTCCTGGAGTACGGAGACAAACTCAAAACTTGACTCTCCACTGGGGCTAGAGGGGAAAAAGGCTGAAAATTAGGGTGTGGAAAAGGCCCAAAGACATATTTGAGTGCTCCTCAATGTATACCTCAGTGGTGAACCCTCCCAAAACTATTGCAGCGAATGCAAACCAGAGGACACAGGGAAGAGCTCTGAATATTCACAGAAGAACAATGACCCATCTAATGCCTTACTCAGGAAGGGCAAGGACTGAAGACAGGAGTGTAAAGAAGAAGAAGCAATGCCTGTGAGGTTTCCAAACACTGCTAAGGTTTAACCCAGCACTGCTCCAGCTGGCCAGAGGGTTTTATGCACTGTTAAAAAACCCCAATTTTCAATGCATACAAAGCCACAACCATGACACTGGCACTCCTGTTTCCCAGAATACAGATCATACTGACAGCCTTCCTACTCTCTAGGGATCTTACTGAGCAATGCTCAGTATGTGACTTCAAGGTGAACAAGCAGAAGTTATTCTGGAGCAGCCATTCCTTTGGGAAGCTCGGCTTTCTTGTACTTTAACTCAACTGAGAAGCACAGAGCAGAGAACACCCTTTTCTACTCCACAGGGAGCAGAACAGTCATCTTACTCCTCCTCCTGAAGGAGAGCTCTAGTGGCACATCCACCCCTGCACCCTGGAGCTGGTTAGGAACCCATGTTCTGAGCTATCTTAAGGGATTTGGCTAGGCAGCTGCTGTTACAAAAGTTGGTGAAGCACAGGACTCCACTCACCTTTCCTTCCCGAATTACCCTGGCTTGATGGTTTATCAGTTACAGAACCTAGAGGGGAGAAAGAAAAAGAAAAGACATCCATTTAGATGCTGTACGGTCACACAAAGTATATGATGTCTCAATAATACAGTCTATATCTCAACCCCTAAAGCATCTATTTTACTTGTCAACAGCTCCATTTAAGACTCGGAGAGCCTGTGGCTTCAACCAAATTGAAAAGTATAAGGAAGTTTTATGCCTTAAGACATTAAATTGGGATAAGGGTAAACAAGAAATCTTTAGTAGCTGGATCTAGTGATTTGAAAGACCTCAAAAGAGCATCATGCTAGTAAGAAACCTGGAATAAATCCAAGGGCAAGAATGAAAGATCAGTAAGAGTCACTTTCATTTGCAAATGTCAGGAAAGACAAATCAAAAGCAGATGGGGAGAGTGTGCAGGGAATTCAGTATTCCAGAGGAAAGGGATTAAGTGGGACAATTTGCAGAAAATGGATTTCAACCAACCCCAGAACATCCCCAGCTGTTTGAAATGGGACACTGAATAAGATCCAGCATGTACTTGAACAGAACACATCTCGGGTTGTTGACTTTAACTTGGATCTTTACATAGTATGTATGATTCTATGCTTGGTTCTGCACTCTGCTTTAGTGCTTCATCACAGTTTTCTACTAAAACTTGACCAGGTAATAAAAGCTAGTCAAATAAATCCATTACCAATGTGTATAAAAATCTGTGACAAGCACTTTTTTTTTCAATAGCTTTATTCACAGGAAACTAATTCTTCTAAGTACCATTACTGAACAACTCTAATGATTACTGAACATTCAGGAAACACGGATCAAAAGTCAGCTTTAAAGAAGGTAGCTCTGACAGCCCCAAGAATCTGATCAAGACAACCTCTGAAGGTAAACTATTGCCTGGACACTTTCACTTGCAGATCAGTTCATCAGAGATCTACTGCTGAATTACAAGTAGTAAGCACAAACTCTGTATTAATCATCATATGTCTAACATCTGTGTCCTACAGTACAACATGACTTTACTTTTCTGCAACATGATTTCATAAACAGCACAAGACTAACTGAATAGATTAGTAAAAGTCTAAAACATGCCCTACCAAAATGATATACTGGAAATTGTGTCATAAAGTCATATTCTAAAGGTTTAAGCCTAGTTATTGTAGGATTGCACCTTAGACTAAAATAGGATAATAATTTTTTTTTCACATGCCTGTGATAAACCCAGCATCTCCTCAAGGTACATTGGGTCACAGCTCTCCCACTCAACTCAAACCCTTATGCAAGTCACTTATTACCACAAGTAATAAGTGCAAGTTTGCTTATTACCACAGAACACCCTACAGCCAAGAGGACACCATATAAGCTGAGAAAAAATCAAAGTCCTAAAGGTTTGACTGCTCTCATGCTCCTACTTAAAGGGAAAACACTACAAGGTGTGAGAGGAGAACTATACTAAAAACCCTTGAGGTGCAGACTGTAGAGCATGAAGACATGTGGCATCACTGAACATGTTAGAAACATACTCCTATGCTTACTGCCTTTTCCTTCTTTAATTTTTTGGGGAGGAGACAGGAAAGTGAGAATGCAGCATAATGCCAGTGTTGCCCTTCAATTCTCCCCAAAGTACAGAACAACTCTGCCTGTGTTTACTGTGGTGTTGTCACAGCAGGACTGTTCACAACAGCTCACAAAACAAGACCACTATTGATCAGGGCCATATGAAGATCTGGAGCCCAATCTCATTCCACTTGAGCCATGGAGTACCAAATCCAACGGTGTGGAGAAGAAAGAAAAACAACATTACTCTTTTTTAAAGAAACTTGTGGATTTGGTGTCAATAAAATGCTGAGCAAAGTAATGTCAGGCTGAGTGCCCAGAAACACATCACTTAATAAACATTAGTAAGAGCCTGGGTCTGGACCTCCCTCTTGTGAGCTGTGGCACAAGCCCAGTGTTGTCCACCCCGTGACACAAACACAGGGATCCTAAACTAAGCAACGTGGCCAAAAGACCCAAATTCATTATAACAGCAGGACCCCAGAAACTGACAGTTTTGCACAGAACCACCTACATGAATTAACTGAAATCACTATGTACAAAAAATTACTCCATGTTCCACAAAATACACCCCAAGAATCATTTCATTACAATACAGCTCATGGAAAAAATTATCCCATCCGTTCAGCAAATCTTTGGTGTTGGTGTACACAGCAACACTGACTCTTGCCTTGGCTGCCACAGGTTGTCACCTTAGTGGTTTTTCTTTCTGAGCCTTGCAGAAGTGTCTGTATCCTAACTGCAGGGTGGACATGCCAGAGTCCAAAGTGCAGCATTAAGTGGGGTAAACTGGCCAAGTCACCTGAAAGATTGGGCTCTCAGAAGGATGCATTCACCCCACCCCTCTGGTTATCACGTTATCATTTGCTGAAGCCAGTCCCACAGTACCTGAACATACAGGAGTTTTGTTCTGTACAGAAGAGCCGCTAATAGGTTTGCCATCAGGTGTCACACACCAGCAGTATCCAGTGTAGGTATGGCACTGCACCTGTTTAATAAAACAAAGAGCAGGCATTTCATTTCTCACTCTATCACCAACCACTTTATTATCATTCAGCATCTTACTGAAAGTCCCAACCCAGAGGTATCACAAACACATGCTTCAGAGCAAGAAGGTCTTACAGAAGACTACCTTGGATATCATTATCTTTTCTTCCCTCACCACCCCCCCACACCCCAAGAAAGATGATTTCTCCTACTCCAACTCCTGCAGCTGAAACTCAGGAGGCAAAAGAAGTTACAAGTACTCATCTGAGAACACTTTAGTTGGGAGATGCAGCAGTTGTGTCTCAGCTCATTCCACCCTCTGCTACATCCCACTTACTGTTTACTATTAAAAACCTGTCCTGCTGCATCCCAACTGGGTTATGCAAAGGCCACCCTATCCCAAATTCCATAGCCACTGCTTGAGAGCAGCATCTGTAGGCATTTCAGAAGCATTTTGTTCAGTAATGGCTGGAAAAGTGCGATACTGACTTGGTTAACAAACCTTCTCCAGACAGATTTAAGCTCTGTTGTGTTACTATGTCAAACTACACAGCAGGAGCAAGATCCAACATGCTAGCTCCTCATATATTGACATGGACTTAAGAACATTTGATGAATGTTCTAGTGAGTCAAAAGGTACACAGTATAAAATTCATCTTGATTGACTTTAAAGCTCTACTTCTGAACTGAATATCTAGAGCTGCCCAGTTCCTTCCTTCACTACAGAAAGACACCAGAATTATGAATTCAGATACAGAACCTCTCAAATAAGGGTAAGTTCTGATCTAGCAGACTGATCTTAGTAACATCTATGGCAACATTAATTCAGCACCACTAAAATTTCATTCAGCCTAACAAATCTAATGACAGCCTTTGCCTCAGCTTCCAGAGTAGCCAACAACTGGATGAAATTCAGGATGCCTTTGACATCTTTGAGATAAAAGTAAACTACCATTGCACAGGCATCTGTGTAAACACTAACAGGTCCCAAAATTCTTTCTAACAAGCATACTTTCAGCTGGAATTAAATGTGCACATCAGTACCTTGAAATGGTATAGAAGTGCATCCTGTTACTATAAACTAGAGATGGCTCCTTCAATACATTTCTGGAAAAAAAGCCATTAAATGGAAAAGACCATTTCAGAAGCTGCCTTTTTATTTTACTTGTAAAATGGATTCTGTTCATTCTCTCTTTTTCCAAACAAGTTCACTGAAACCAATTTCCAATTCCAGTCCTCTTCACACAGAAGAGAAGAGTGATGGGGTGTTTGTGCTGGTCCCCTCATTAGGGATCCTTCAGAGCAAAACCAGTCATTCCCCCTCGCTGACAGCTGGCTTCAATGCCCTAAGGTAGCAAAGTTTGTACAGAGACTTAATGACAGTTTTTTTTAAAGGCTTTGAATATCACATAAAACATGATCTAAGAGCAATTATAACACAGTACGTCGTGTTTATCTTGGGTTTTACTTGTTTATCTTGGGTTTTACTAAAGTGCAAATCAATCATTTTGCCTCAAGCATTTACTTTTAGTAGCCAAAATCAACAGTCATCTCATGTACCCATGTTACTGCAGTCACTGTCACTGCTATTTGCAGATTCATTTTTCTTCTCTCAATATATCACAATACTGATGGCAAATTACTCAAAAGTACCATGACTATAATAAACAATAATCAAGTCAGAAAATATATGTTATTGCTCAATGTAATCAATAGAACACTCAAAACAAATGTGATGGATCTGCTTGGGTTTAGGTTTAGAGTTTATCTTTGCTGTTCACACACACACACACACACACACGACTGCATTCCCAACAGCACAAGAAGCTGCATTAATTGTAAAAATCCTACCAAGGGATAGAGCTAAATGCCAGGATAGGGTCTTGAATTGTAGGGCAAGACTATTCCATGTTACGTTATATAAAAAAACCCAGTGTACCCAGCATTTAAAAAACTCTAGTATTAGTCACTTTAGCCAAACTTTTGGAAAAATAACAAAGTACATGGCAGAGGAGTCAAAAAAAATGTATTGACACAAATTCAGGACAGATGCATTAAGAGTATGTTATGTAACACACCTCAGTGGAGAACTATGAATTACATATGCTCATTTATGGAAGCCAAGCACATTACACCCATAAAAAAGTGAATTAATTTTGTAAATAACTAGGCTAAGAAATGCTAGTCTTCCTTGGACTGGTATCCCATGACCTTTTCTTCCCCCATGTTGCCATTAAGAAAAGAAAGAAATTGCCATTAAAAAAAAAGGAAGGGAAAAAAAACATCTGAGACTGACAGCACTCAGCACTTTCACAACAACCACAACCACATGTTTTACTGCAGTACCAAAGGACTTCCCTTCTACAGATAACAGCTGCAATTAAAGTTCAGCCATTATCCTAAAGGCCAGACAGCTAGCCATGAAGAATGGGCACTGCAGAAATCTGCAGAATCAGTGCAGCTATTTTTCCTGAATGTCTTCACACTGAGACACCTTTCACCGTGATACCTGACCAGGTCTCAGTACAATTTAGGGTCATAACAACAGTGGCCTACAGCCTAGAGTTTGCATCTTAAAGGCTAGGAGGAAAAGTAAACTCTTCATCACTTACATAATACTGTAAGAAAAAAGCATAAAGGCAACAGCTGATCCAGTACACTTTCTAAGCACTGTGTGTAAACAAACATAAAATGCTGACTATTTCAGAGCACCTCCAGCAATGGATATCCAAAATTTGGGGGTTTACTTTAAAATTTTCCATTGACCTTACATTTGAGCTTTTATTTCTAAATAAAATTTCAACTGTCAACCCAAAATTGAACCTCATTCTCATCCTACTCCCAAAGTAGCGAGATTTTTAAACACTTATCTTCAGGTAAGTAAGTTTGCAAGCATGATAGATGTTTACTGCACAGATCTAATCTTCAGTTATTGAGTTAATTTTGACTCTATCAAAATACATGTTAGAAAAAACGTGTTTGACTTTTTTGGCTTTCAGTCTTCTAAAGCTAAGCATCGAGGCAGAGGAAATACAATCTTATATATAAAATACAATCTTATATACTTAATAGACTTGATTGTTAACCAAGCTGCAGTTACAGAATGTGCCTGTTACAGCTGGAAAGGCACACAACAGAATTTGGTATCTCAGATTAACACACAACAGCTGTATTGTAAGTTACATAATAGGAAATCAGATAAATAAAACCTGTAAATCTTTTGAGGTCTTCAGCAGATACCCCACTAACATCTACAATAAAAAAAAAATCCAATTGCATTTTAAAGCACTACAAGCAGCCAAATCCCTGATCATGCAGAAGGACACCATTCCTATTTTTCATGGAGAGATAGGTCATCTTACCTGTGTCTCAACTAAAAGATGAAAAGAATGAGGGGCAAACCCAAGAAAAACTGCTCCAGATCACCACTCCCCAAATTAAAAGTGTAGCAGCAGTTTCTCTATTCCACCCTGCCATTACAACGTGCAAAATCAAACAGCAGCCAATACACTGGCCAAACACCTGCTCTCATAAAATTCCTTACAATATGTAAGAAAAGAGTAGGCACTGGGTGATAACTCTGCCTCTTAAGTTCCTCAGGGGGAAAAGAAGCCATTCTTTGGGTTTCTTCAGTATCTCACTGACAATGCCAGAATCTGATTCCCAAGTAAAGCTTCTAAACAAGCAAGCTTCTAAAGTAAAGCTTCCACACAAGCAAGCAGCATCCCTTTATAACTATTTAACAAATGAGGATCAAGGGGATGTTGCTCAGATAGAAATCAAAGTGAGAGAGAAATCATATACACATATGATAGAGAGAACAGAGGCAAAGCAGCAATTCTGTGATGGCTGAAACCAGTTTCCATGGAGTTACAGGAAGAGGTAGTTGCCTGTAATAGGCTTGAAGGAACCTTGGACAAACACTGGGCTGACAACAGGAACACTCAGATTAGCCTCTCACTGCTGTTCAGACGAAATGTTTAGCAACCCATTCCTATCCCATCGCAGATCAAACAAACATTTCCTGGGTCCTTCCACAATGGAGGGCAGAAATGAGAAGGGAAGAACATTCATTCTGTATTGAAAGCTATACTTCTAAGAGGAAAGAAAAAACACATTCAGTTTTTGAATGGCACTGCTTAGGCTAAGGGCAGGAAGCAGAGCTACTGACTGCATTCACAGCACCAGGCAAGGCTCCAAACCCTGGTTGCATCCAGGTGCTCCTTGTAAACACTGTGAAAACAGCTAAATAAATAGCTCCAAGCCAGCAGGTCATCCAGTCTGACCCAGGGAGCAGAAGCCAGTGTGATGCAGCAATTCTTTAATCAAGTCTTTCCTTTAGTCAAGCCTCTGAGACTCAGCTAGAAAGTCCTCTGAACCCACGTTAGTGGCACACAACCACACACTGGCCTGATGGCTATTTATCTTAACTCTCCATGGTGATCCGCTGCTCCGGTGCACGTCTTGCTGTAATGCTTAGACCTTGCATCTTGTAATACTTTTTGCTACATTAAGAGTCAGCTGATTATTGTCAGAAGCCTGCCTTACCTTTATAGGCAATTTTAGGGAAGCTATAAATTAGTCTGCATCTTGTGTTTAAGCCTCTTTGGGACTGCAGCCCCTTAAACAATTCTTGTCACTTTTTCTGTTCTCCACTCCTATTTAGTTCTTCACAAATGGTGTTGAGCAAATGTTCCCACCAGGGCTTTATGCAGCACCCACCTCCCTCAAGTCTATGCACCACTCAAGAAACGCTTCCTCCATGGGAATTTCACTGTTCATACAACCAGGAAAAAAAATGATCTGAAGCAAAAGAATCTTAATCACGATCAAGGGCATTCCCATCACACACGCTGGTACATAGGTTATTTTTAGTTCAGGAAAAGGGTCCTCAAGAGAGGCTTTCTGCTTCTGACACAGAATGTGACACTTTGAAGCTAAGAATGACCTTACATTGTCACTTCCCATAAGTAGGTCCACTCTTGCTTTAAGAACCTGTTC